GGTATGTTCCATGATCACCATCTCTATGCGCAACCATACCTTATAACCATAAGTGATCTAGGGATTTTATCTTAAGTGCAATTATAAGATAAATGCTTTCTCTTAAGATAAAGAAATGCCTTATTCATAATATAATTCCAATAGACTGTATTTACAAGTAGAATACGTCCAATTAGATTGGAACGCCGGGTACCCTACTATAACACTCTCAACCTGATTATGTTCATGATTTATGGCTAGCGCTTCGTGAACGATACACCATGGTCAACGGGGCCCGAATTCAGCAACTCAAACTTGATTTGTCCGGGTGCAAGCAGGCGGGAAGCAGCATCGAGAATTACTATGGTCGGATGACAAAACTTTGGGACGAACTTGCGGGCTATGAATGCTCTCCTATGTGCCGTTGCAACAAGTGCACGTGCGGACTTCAGATTGAATGGGATCGACAACAGGAAGAGGCGAAGGTTCATCAATTCCTGATGGGCCTCGATGGCAATCTGTATGGCCCGACACGCTCGCACGTCCTCGCTCTCGATCCCATGCCAAACCTCAATCGAGAACGTATGCGTACAGGCTTTCACGACCAATCCTCGATTGACACCTCCAGCTTTGCGGTGAAGACTAATGTCTCCAGCGTCTTAGGCGCTGCTCCTGGACACGACTCGGTTATCCTTGGCACAACAGGAACTGGTCACTATGCCGGTTTGCAGGCTGCAGGTGGGGCTCCACTTGCAGCAACCGTCATGGCGGATCATGGTGCTGTAGCCGGCGGACGCTCGGTGAAAATCTTACCTGATCTAGCTGCGGCAATACGGGACATGTTGCTGCCAAGTGCTTTGAGGTCATTGGCTATCCCGAATGGTGGGGAACCGGGAACGACCTCGGTGGTGGTTCCGGCAAAGGCTGTGGCCGCACGAGTAACGGCAAATGCGGTAGGAGGACCGAACAGGCGTGAGATAATGCAGCATTTGGCGGCGGTCCCACCACTTTTCACGATCCCAGCGGCTCGTCTATAGGTCTCGGCCCGGCCGGGGGATTGACTTTAAGTGAGTCAGATCGAGCTGCTATTTCTGGTTTGACTAGTGCTCAATGGGAGCCTATTGTCAACCTTGTTACTTCGGCTCGTAATAATTCTCCGCTTTCCGGTAAGCGTACCTCATTTGATTGGATGTATGACTGCGGTGCATCACACCATATGACAGATTTTCGGAATTTTTTTTTGATATTGCGAATATTGCACCGAGATCCATCCAATTGCCTAATGGCACGCTCATTACTGCTAGTCAAGCTGGAACAGTTAAACTTGGGTCTCATATTGTTCTTTGTGATGTTCTTTTTGTTCCCAGTCTTCGGTGTAGCTTGATTTCATTATATCAGTTATTGAAACAAGCTGGATGTGTGGCTACCTTCACTACGAGGACAGTGATTAGAGCAGGTGAACAGTTGGGGGAACTATATTTCTTTCGAGGGACGGTCACTGCGACGTCTTCTAAAGTGACGACGGTCTTCACTGATCTATGGCATCAACGGATGGGTCATCCTTCTTTTTCTATTTTTACGCAGCTTCCTTTTCTTAAGTCTGGTGTTCCAACATCGAATAAATCGTGTGATGTGTGCTATAAGGCTAAACATTCGCGTGTTAGCTTTCCTATTAGTCGTAATGTTGTCAGTGACATTTTTTCATTAATTCATTGTGATTTGTGGGGACCCTATCGTATTCCCGCATTTTATGGAGCACCGTATTTTTGAACTATTGTGGATGATTATTCTCGGGCTACTTGGATTTATTTGTTGGATGATAAAAGTGTTGTTTCCTCTACTTTGATGTCTTTCTTTGCCATGGTGAAAAGACAATTTTAGCACTGTCGTTAAAATTGTTTGTAGTGATAATGGGACTGAGTTTACAGTCATGCGTGACTATTTTCAACGTGAAAGTATTGTTCATGAGACTTCTTGCACTGGAACCCCTCAACAAAATGGACGAGTTGAACGAAAACATCAACACATTCTCAATGTTGCTCGTGCTTTACGTTTTTCAGGCTCATTTGCCGCTTGAATTTTGGGGACATTGCGTGCTGGCGGCTGGATATTTAATTAATCGTACACCTACTTCTGTTTTGTCTTGAAAAACACCTTATGAAATGTTGTATGGCAGAAGTCCTGATTTGGCCCATTTAAGAGTCTTTGCTGTCTGTAGACATGGCAAAAACCTGGGCCGGGTCACGGCCCGGCCCGACCCTCCGTGCCTCCGGGTTGGATTTCATGGACCCTGACGACACGGACCTATGCTCGTGCTGGGTCCATGACTCGGTTAACCGGGTCTGTCTGAATCCGTGCCGGGTCGTCATTTTTTACAGAAAAAAGTATAGAATAATATAAAAAATATATAAAAAAAATAAAAAAATGGGTCATCGACCCGGACCCTGCCCGGCCCGCTGGGCCAGGGTCATGAAATAATGACCTTAAAACGGCCCGCCGAAAACCCGGTCCGGGCTCGGACCCGTGGTCAACAGGTTTGACCGGGCCGGGTCCGTGCTAGGTCAGGGCCGGATCGGTGGGCCGGGCGGCCCGTGGCCATGACTAGCTGTCTGTGTTATGTACATGACCAAGCTTCACGAGGAGACAAATTTGCCAGTCGGAGTCGTAAATGTACGTTTGTCGGTTATCCGGTTGGAAAAAAGGGATGGTGTGTATATGACTTGGATAAAGGTTCTTTTTTTGTTTCTCGTGATATAGAATTCTGTGAAACTGAATCTCCTTTCTCAGATTCTACCACACCAGTTGCTCCTATCATTTCTACCAATCATTGGCCTATTGTGTCCGAGGATGATGTTTACACTGTGCCTCTTCCTTCCTCTTCTGACTCCAGCACTCTTAGTAGTGTCGATGATAAGGGGGATGCTACCTCTACCGACGAGTTGCTTGGTCGCGGTTGTCAAATTAAGCGTCGCTTCTTTCGGCTCACTGATTTTGTCTCTCATACAAATTCCTACATACAAATTCCTACAATTTAAATGAAGTCGAGTTTCATCCCAATGATGCTATCTTGCCAAAAAACAACACAAGAGAACCAAAATTATAAAGAAAGCAATTTGAGCCAATGAATTATTAATTATCAAGGAAAGAGATAACTCACATTGTTGAAGTCCATAATAACACATTTGCTTTATCTTTATCTGGTCAATCCGTGTCTTGTCAACTTAAATACTTTCCAAATGTTGTGTTAAACAATGCTCGATCTTCATCAGATGCAAGGGAGTTGGCTTTGAAGATGGCCTCATACAACTCAACCAGAAGTCCTGGCAATCTCGAAGAGATGTACTTCTCAAAGTGCATCATCTTCTCACCGGCACCTCCCTCCACTATAGCACCCAAAGTGTTTTTGGACACATAGAGGGGGTGGAATCGTGTGTTTCGTAGGAACTTTAATAGACAAAACAAATCCTCTTTATCATACAACTGTTTGTGTTTGTCTTTCAATTTGGTCATGTCTTTGAAGAGATTTCCAAAATTTGATTGCTACCCATTCCAATTGCAATTACAATCGAAACGCGCATTAAAATTTTTAAGACACTTGTTAAATGGTTCCTTGTACCTAACGTCTGCCAGAGTGGTCCAAAACTCGAGTCTCTTCTCTCAATTCCAAAATATGGGATGGGGAGAGTGCATTCAATGCCGTCCATCTTGACTCTTTAGAATGATCCCCTAGTTTATTAATGAGATGAGTTATTTGACATCCATGAACTTCCCCTTCAATTTTACCCTTATAATCTTAGAGGAGGCAATATGCAAATATTTTCCATATTTTCAGCATGTCTATAAATTGCAACTTTTCAACCCATTCTCTTTCTTCTCTTTTGGATAATATTCAGTCCGAACTGGGATTATTTTTCCATTTGATGAACTGGAAAGCAACATTCCATTCCTCTCGTATAAAAAACCTTTTTGTCTCCAAATTGTAACACTTCATACCTTTGTTGTGCAGAAAATCAACAACACACAGTATTTGTATGAATATCGAAATTAGCTTGTGAGATGGATGTCCATTCTCTAAGCGCAAAGTTTCATCTCTTTTAATCATTTCTTCAAAGTTACAACTACAGTATTCCATACTGATATGGACATACTTTCTACATGTCCACACATCGACAATTTCTATGAGGTTAGGATGTTTGAGGTCCTTTTCCCTCATAACATCTACTTCGGATCGTTCGAAATCCGTTCTTTTTATTTTTTTTTACTACCATATTGTTCTTCTCAATCTCCCCCTCACATACAATTGTTTCATCAGTACTCATGCCAATCACAATGTCTCTATTGTAGTACAAATCCACAATTGTGTCATAAGATTTATACTTTCTGTCCATGATGAAATTACAGAAAAAAAATGCTGATTGGAGCTGGGGCGGTGCAAATATGGTGTTTCTCGCTGGCAGATCTGGTGAGCTCGCTGTGAAATCTACGCTGCAGTTGTTCACGATTTCCTTTCAGGGGTGAAAGAAGAATGAGGTGCTATAAGCCAAGCTTGAAGTGGTGAATGCTATTTTTTCAGACAGATCTCGTCCTTAAGTTAGAGTCTAAAAACCAGGAAGACACTGGGGGAAGATTCAAGGTAAGAAGAAGGTCCATCTTCAGGAGTAGGTTTTCTTGCATCAACTACGGGAAAGTCAATTACTGCAGGAGCAGTAGAAGAAACTTTAGCAGCGGAAGAGGTGAAAAAAGAGGGTTTAGTCCGAGAAGTTCAATTAAAGGTTTTACTGTGCAATTTTAAAAATTTCAATGGCCAAAAAATACCAGAGGTGTTCCGGGATATGATAGCGGTGCTTCACATCATATGACGGGCTACTTGAAATTTTTTCTGATATCCGAGATATTCCGCCCCGGTCTGTGCAGTTACCTAATGGCACGCTAACAACTGCGTGTAAAGCAGGCACTGTTCATCTCGGTTCTTGTATTATTTTATATGATGTTTTGTTCGTTGACAGCCTTCAATGCAGCTTGATATCGTTATCTCGTTAGTTGGAACAATCTGGTTGTGTTGCTACCTTCACTAGTACATATTGTGCTATTCAGGACCTCACTTCAAGGATGGTGATTAGAGCGAGTGAGCAGTTGGGGGAACTCTATTTTTTCAAGGGGCGATCGCTGTCAATGCTTCTCGGGTGTCTTCGGTTATGCAGCCCTGTTGGCACCAGCAGATGGGTCATCCCTCTTCTACTGTTCTTGGTCAATTGCCTTTAGTTGAGTCTCACTCCTTGGTCTCGAATAAAACTTGTGATGTTTGTTGTCGGGTGAAGCAATCTCGTGCTAGCTTTCCTCTTAGTCGAAGTGTCAGCAGTTCCATCTCCAGTCTGATTCATTGTGATGTGTGGGAACCGTATAGGGTTCCTGCCTTTAGTGGTGCTCGATATTTTTTAACTATTGTTGACGACTATTCTCGCGGTACTTGGATTTTCTTATTGGATGACAAATCTTCGGTGTCTTTCACTTTACTGCAATTTTTGCTTTTGTCAAAAGGCAATTTGTTGTGTTCGTTAAAACTGTTCGCAGTAACAATGGGACGGAATTTACTTGTATGCGTGATTATTTCCGTCAACAGGGGATTGTTCATGAAAAACTTCTTATGTCGGAACTCCTCAACAAAATGGACGTGCTGAGCGCAAACATCAGCACATTATTAATGTTTCTCGAGCATTACGCTTTCAAGCCCATTTACCGGTTGAGTTCTGGGACATTATGTACTTGCTGCTGGCTATTTGATTAATCGACGCCTACTCCTCTTTTATCCGACAAGACTCCCTATGAACTTTTGTATGGAGAAACTCCCAGCTATGCGCACTTACGTGTTTTTGGCTGTCTGTGTTACGTGCACAATCAGAACAGGGAATGTGACAAGTTTTCAAGTCGGAGTCGTCGATGTGCTTTTGTTGGCTATCCATATGGTCAAAAGGGGTGGTGTGTTTATGATTTGGACAACTGCACTTTTCTGGTCTCACGTGATGTGAAATTCTGTGAATCAGAGTTCTCTTATTTGACGTCTTCTGCTCTTGATACTGCCATCATACCTGTGGTTCCATGGCCTGCTGTTTCCGACGATGATGATACTGTGGTGGTTCCCACTACGACGCGTACCACTGACACTGGGGTTCTGAAGTCATTGTTGATAGGGGGGGTAATCCTTCCCAAGAGGAAGTGTTGGGCCGTGGTCATCATCTCAAGAGGCCCTCTTCCCCCCAATTTGCCTCCTCAATCACGTCATCGTCTGATACTCCTTACCCTCTCGCACATTATGTTTCTTGTGATTCCTTTTCACCTGCACATCAGTCATTTCTGGTAGCCATTTCTTCTGCTATTGTGCCTCGGACCTTTTCTGAGGCCGTTCGAGATAATCGCTGGCGTTCGCTATGCAACTGGAGATTCGAGCATTAGAATCGAATCATACTTGGGATATTGTTTCTCTTCCTACTGGAAAACACGCGATTGGTTGCAAGTGGATTTACAAGATTAAATATAATTCTGATGGTTCTGTTAAGCGCTACAAGGCGCGTTTGGTCGTCTTGGGTAACCGGCAGGTGGAGGGCATTGACTATCAAGAGACATTTGCACTTGTCGCCAAGATGGTTACTGTACGGACTTTTCTTGCTACTGCAGCTGCTCGACATTGGGAGTTCATCAGATGGACGTGCACAATGCATTCTTACATGGGGATCTGTTTGAAGAGGTCTACATGAAGCTTCCTCCTGGTTTTCATTCGCCTGATCCTGGTAAGGTGTGTCGATTACGCCGTTCTCTGTATGGTTTGAAGCAAGCTCCTCGGTTTTGGTTTGCGAAGCTTGCTTCTGCTCTACGGCACTATGGTTTTCAACAGTCATATTCTGATTATTCACTGTTTGTTTTTCATCGTGACTCATTAAGTTTACATGTTTTGGTTTACGTTGATGATCTGATCATTTCTGAAAGCGATCCAGTTGCCATTACTGCCTTTAAGGATTATTTGGGTCGCTGTTTTCATATGAAGGATTTGGGTTTGTTGAAACATTTTCTGGGTATTGAGGTTGCTAGGAATTCTTCGGGCTTTTTCTTGTGCCAACGGAAGTACACTCTTGACATTGGCGGTAAACCGACAGATTTTCCCATGGAACAGAATCACCAACTTCCCTTAGCAGACGGTCGTCTCTTTTCTGACCCCATTGGGCAATTGATCTATTTGACAGTCACTCGTCCTGGCTTGTCTTATGCGGTTCATACTTTGTCTCAGTTCATGCAGCAACCTCGTCAGACCCACTGGGATGCTGCTCTTAAGGGTAGTTCGTTATTTGAAGGGTACTCCAGGTCAAGGTATTCTTCTTCGTTCAGATTGTGACTTGCCGATTTATGGTTGGTGTGACTCTGACTGGGCGACTTGTCCCACTACACGCCGTTCTCTCTCAGGTTGGTTTGTCAAGCTTGGTCATTCACCCCTTTCTTGGTGCACCAAGAAACAATTGAGCTATGGCGACCCTTACTTGTGAGTTGAAATGGTTGAAGGGTTTACTTCACAGCCTTGGTGTTGCTCATTCTCAGCCAATGCGGATTCATTGTGACAGTCAAGCAGCTCTACACATTGCTGCTAATCCTGTATTTCATGAGCGCACGAAGCATATTGAAGTCGATTGCAATTTTCTTCGTGATGCTCTTGTTCAAGGTCTCATTTCTACCGCTCATATTTTCACTCATTCTCAATTGGCGGACATCTTCACCAAGGCCTTGGGAAAACGCGAGTTTGATTTTTTTCTTGGCAAGTTGGTCATTTTCGCATGCTCCAACTTGAGAGGAACTTGATGGGAGTGTTAGAGTGATTTTGTGAATATTGTATTTTCGGTATTGATAGATTTTGGTATCTTAGTGATTTGGGGTAGATTGGTTTTAGGGCCTTCTTTGTATCTTTATATTCGGCTCTTGTGAATCTCGGAAAGCAAGGTTTTGTGAAATGAATTGGTGTTCACATATTTGTCACGTTGGAATTTTTATTTTCACCAATATTTCAACCCATATTCAACCGTTGGAATCGTCAAAATCCAATGGAAATTTCAATGAAAAACTCATTGCAACGCAATATTTTTGTTGGAATTTCAGTTCGAATTCATTGAAAAATTCCAATGGAAATAGCATTGAAATATCCATTGAAATTGTCATTTGAATATATTTTACTACTAGAAAGTGAGACTTCAATAACGAAAAATTGCGTTGCAATATCCATTGAAATTTTCATCATATTCTTGTAGTGGCAGGAGTTCTATATTAAGGCCAGCCTAACCATTAGATGAACTTACTTCTCTCACATATATATACTTTCGTTAGAAAATGTCATACCTTAAAAGATCAACATAAACATACATTACAAAAAAATTGTCATTTTTCAATGAATAATCCAACGTTCTATTTGAATGAGTTTTCCATTATAATTTCAACGAAAATATTCCATTGGAATGAGTTTTCCATTAGAATTTTAGATAGAATTTGATGATTTCAACGACCACTTTTTTAACGATTTTTTACTGTATGAATTACCATTGCATTTTTTATTGCCATCCATATTTTAACTGTTAAAAAATCTACTGTTTGAATCGTTAAAATCCAATGAAAGACTCATTCAACGGAATAAATTTATTGTAATTTCCTTGAGAATCCATTGAAAAATCCAATGACAATAATAACGTTGAAATATTCATTTGTATTGTGTAGGCAAAGAGCCTGAGCCATGCTGACAAAACAATGGGTGCCATAGAGATTCTCATAGCTATAAGAGAGGGAGAGGTGGGTTTGAAGATTTCGTGAGCCATGTTGATAAAACGATCATGGATATGATTGAATTTCAGAAATTATTTTGGCTTTTTTTGTTTCAAACGGCATAAACATACTCATTAAAAAAGTCCAAAAGGCAATGTACACAAGTGAGCCCGAAGCTGGGGAATTGGGAGGTTACATCCATAACTAATGCAACCTAGACGGAATACCAACTAGCAAAGCTAGTAAGACCAAAACACTACGAAACCAAACCCAAACTAGAAACACAACGAAACAATACATAAAAGACCTCAACAGGTAAATACATGAGCGTAAGCTCCCAACAGGAGAATAAAGGCTACCCTCAGGCCAAACCGAGGTCAACGGCCCAAACCAAAAATACATAAGCCACACCAACACAAACACAACGATCACACAACAAAGAAAAAATAATATCATAAACAACAATAAACAAAACGGAGCCCTTCCCCAGCGAACTGAACTAAGCTCAACCAGCAGTGACCGACCGACACAAAGAAAACCTCGAGCCCGAGAATCGCTACCGAAACTGCACGAACGCCTATACAACCTGCTCAACCCCCGAGACAATCCCGAATCGACCCATCCCTAACCGAGAGAGCCCCGACCAGCCCCCACACCAGCCCCACCGAACTCGTCTAACACCACTAGCCAAGCTTGATAGGACCCAATTTCCCTCCGCCTAACACCACTAGCCGACCAAGGAAAAGCGTGAGTGGCTCGGGCCCTCAACCCCAACTGCCGCAACAGGAAACGTCGCTATAACTAGGGTCCCGCCTCACCCGATGACTCATGCTCCACCCGACACAACCACCGACCTCCAACGAGGTGAAACCCCGCCTGAAGAAGCCAAGCACTACAATCATTAAATAGGTGAAGATAGGTGGTCCTACCGCAACAAATCGGAGCTCCACCGGCGACTGGGGAGAAGACCCCCCAAACTCCGACCGCGATTGAAGCCGCCACCATCTGGAATCCAATCAGAGACCGAGTCAATACCTCCAATCGCGAAAAATCAATAGCAACATCGGATGAGCGCTTCGTCAGGGGTGAGCCGGATGGTCAAAGACGACCCCTAGCCATGGCTATGTCGTCGCTGAAGGCGATTCAGCCTGAAGAGAAGGGAGAGACGATGGGATTTGGGGGTAAGGTTATTTTGCCAGAGCGTTAATATGAGAAATTATTTTGGCTTACTATTTATAAATTAGTTATAAAAAGTAATACAGTTTAAACATTAATGACAAAATAAATTACAAATCAAATATTTTTAATCGTAACAAATAGTATATTTATAATTTAAAAAAAAAAATTGTAAGAAGACATGTATGAATTACAAATAGTAAATCTTTTTTCTCCCAATAATATTTGGTCAAGGAAGAATGTAAGAAGATATGTAAGAACAATCCTGAGAATTGTAAAAATATATTATTAAATAGTATAAAGATATAGATGAGAGTTATCAATCGTGGGATCCTTGGAAAGTTGTAAGATGTTACATATGCATAAATATGTGAGTGAATGATATACTGAAACTAGAATTAGAATTATAAGATAATATAAATGTGAGTGAATGATATACTGAAATTAGAATTAGAATTATAAGATAATATAAATGTTATATACAGTGACGGTTAGAATTAAAATTCAAAATGAATATAGAATTAGAATTACATTACAACGAATAACTATTTCAAATGAATTAAAGTTCAATTTTTTTAACATTATTTTCATTACAGACGAAAAAATCGTCGTAAAAATATAATTAGAATTAATAACAAGAAATTTGTGATCAATAAATATGTCCGGACGGAGGAAGGTTGCCAAATGTGACAGTGGTGTTAACGAGAGGCTGCATGACTTCGGATGAATAGAACAGATGCCTACTAAAGTGATAATAAAACGTCAGACCCGATTTTCATAACATAATGTTAATTAGAAAATAGCGTTAAAAAAGTTTAAATTGTATTTGTAATAAAGGAATAAATAAAATCTTTTATCTGATGGGCACATTAAATAAATATATAATAAATCTAGAATAAATAAAAAGAATTTAAATTTATATAATAAAGTACTTAGATTATTTTAAAAACTATCAACCTCCTAAATATAATTAAAATACTATTTTTCAACCATTTCAAACAATGAATAATTTTGTGATAATAGTAACTTGTCCAAAAACACAATGAATGATTTTGTACCAATAATATAACTTGTCCAAAAACAAAATAAAATAGAAAAATTCTTTCTATGATATCTATATACAGTCTTTTAAAAAGCAAACCATTATATCATAATCCATGAGGAAATAATTATGAAATATATTACTTTTTATTTTGCCCCACCCCCAGCGCCTCACCAAGCTATTCGAACTGAAAATATTTTTAGAGAAAGAAAGGGGTAAACCAAAAATGCTTCTGGTTAGTACATGATATCACATAATCATCAAATGAAAACGTTTTCTACAATTTGTGAATTCTTCAATATGAAGTGATGTTTAGTTAAAATTATATGAATAGATGAATAGTGAATTAAAGTTGATGTGATATGTAAGAATGATTGATTGATATTATTTAATTATATTGACAATATTGAAGATATTAAAATTGAGTTAAACTTGAATTAAATTTTGAGTATGAATGAATTGAATTGAATAGTTTTATAAACAAAACCTCTTTAGCGAGCTGATTTCACTCGGCGACTAAACTCTCGTTTCTTTTAACAACTTTATTGTCGACCATGCATGCAACATTTCAGCAACGTTTATCACAATTCTATTTCACTCGTGATAATATAATGCGTTGGGTGCAAAAGCTTCATTCAATCCAACTATCTAGAACATTTAAAATTGAACCACATAAAGTTTACACCTAACTGCAAAACTAGCACATTTGGTAACAGAAACGTGATGTAAGCCGAGCTGCAGAAAAGTTGCTGCTCTTTACAAAACAGAACCAAAATATTGAAAAAAAAATAAAAATTTAATTCAATTTACTGCCAAGCTGTAAACTTTTTGTCATCTTTTTACGCTACTCTTGCTCGTACAACCCAACGTCCATCAGTCCTTTCGTCTGCCCATTTTCTTGTATGTATATAAAGGGAGTGCGTGTGTGTAACTTTGTATCTCTCTCTCTCTCCACTCTGAGTCGACTGGTGGTTTATAGCTCACACTAAAGCGGTTGTTGGGTAAAGGGGGGAAAAACAGGGAGAGAAAGAAAGCAAGGCGAAAAAAGATTCGATTTTTAGCGTATTTCTTGATTTGGGGTTTGCCATCTAGCTCTCTGAGGTTGTGTTCTTGAGAGAAAATTGAAGATATGAAGGACATTCTGCACTTTGTGANCATTGAGATTTTGGTTTGGCGAAGTATGCTGGAGGAAAAAAAAAAAGAAATTGTGGGGTCAAATTGCTTACTGTCGTAGTGTGTAGTTTTGGGTCTTCATGTTCTTGTTCTTTCTACACGTAACTTTCTTGAGGAAGATGTAAATAATCCCTTTAGTGAACTGACCAAGAGAAGATTTCTTCTTGGCCCATTGGTTGAAACAAAACCTTGTCAAATGCCATGTTCAATGTTCAATGCTCATGTGATCTTTTGTTTTTCTCTGTTCTTTGTCTTTTTTAACTTGAAATGCAGGATCACCTTCAAAAGAATCATGAAGAAAAGGTCGACTGAGCAATTTTCTGGAGTCCCATATGTCATGACCCTGCTCAACTGCTTGCTTTCAGCCTGGTAAAATTTTCTTTCAGATTTCTTGAAATGATTAAGAGCATTGAAAAGCTGGCCTTTACTATTACACATTGTCCCATTACTTTCTCTGCCATGAGGATATTTATCTATATGAAAATACCTTATGCAACAGGGTTTTACTCTTTTTCAATACACACCTATGATGTTAGTAGAGTTAGTTATGCTTGAGAAAATGCATTTTCACAGCATTTGTTATCTAATTCTAGCTGCAGCCTTGATTAATTAAATCTCCTAATTTTCCAATCCAAATACTTCTCAGCCAGTTCATGAATTTTGAGCTGCTGCTTCTTTTAAATAGGTATGGTTTACCATTTGTATCGCCTAACAATCTGCTCGTTTCAACGATTAATGGAACTGGGGCTGCCATTGAAATCGTTTACGTGATGATCTTTCTCGTATATGCACCGAAAAGGGAGAAGTGCAAAATCTTGGGGCTGCTATCCATTGTACTCGCTGTTTTCGCAACAATTGCTTTAGTCTCTGTCTTTGCACTCCATGGCAATAACAGGAAGCTTTTCTGTGGTGTGGCAGCCACTATCTTCTCCATCATCATGTATGGTTCGCCTTTGACAATCATAGTAAGTGCTTCTTATTTCTCTCATATGCTGCATTTTGTTAATGATTCTTGTGTTCTAGTTTTTCTTAATAGTTTAGATGTTTAACATAATTAAAGGGGAGACAAATTTCAAGGGGGAGTTTGCAGTTTGGAACGATAGTCGATCTTTTCTGCAATTAGGCTAAAAGTGACAAGTTTTTGTAGTTAATAACCCTTCTTTTACATAATTACATTCCATTGAGATTGACCGTCCCTTTTGTTATGTCTTCGAACTGCTATTATATATGTGATTATGGAAACTATAATATTTGGTTTATTCTTTCATTTAATTGGTATATTAATCCTTAATGGTTCTCTGCTTTTTTAATATTTCTCATTTTCACATCCCAGAGCCAGAAACATGTTTTCTCCTGTTTGCAGAATTTTTAGGCAGAAAAAGTCCACATGGATTGATCATAACTTCTGCATGATGACTGATTATTATTATTTTTTTTTTTTAATTTTTTGAAAAATATCGTTTATAAATTATTTTGCATTAAAAAAAAAATGCAGAGGTTGGTGATCAAAACAAAAAGTGTGGAGTTTATGCCCTTCTTCTTGTCGTTGTTCGTATTCCTGTGCGGCTCGTCATGGTTCGTCTTTGGCCTCCTTGGAAAAGACCCTTTTGTTGCTGTAAGCATCTTTCTTATCTTAAATTGTATTACTCGACAAAAAAATAAAAAAAAAAATGCAATTTTTCTGTTTCTTCCACAATTTTTGCCCATTTCCTTTTCCCCTTATGATCCAATGTATGTGAAAATGTATTCACAGATTCCCAATGGATTTGGAAGCGGATTAGGAGCTGTGCAGCTTATACTCTACGCGGTTTTTCGTGATAACAAGCGCGAAAACGAGAAACCCACAGCCGATAAGTCCCTAGAATATTCGAAATCACAATTTGAACAAGTTTAGCTCAGANAAGTGTGTTGTTTTGTTTGGTTGGATGATGCCATGAACATTGAACAACCATTTGGCTTAATTGTGTTTAGTTTGGTATTCATCTTACTAATTCTCTTGCTGCTGGTGATTGATTATCCTTCTCACTTGTGAAAAAAAAAAGTTAAACATGACAAAATGATTTATTCAAATAGTAGCTAATATAATCCACCCCACAGAAAAGTTAAACATGACAAAATGATTTATTCAAATAGTAGCTAATATAATCCACCCAACAGATGTTCGCTAATTATTTTCGCTATCTGCAAGTGTACGGAGTAGTTATAGGTAGTGGCGAGCAAGATCGTATTCCACAGAGATTGTAGTTAAATTAATTAAATACTAAAATAATAACGATTAAATATTATCTAAACCAGTAAATTGAATGATGATTATAAACTAAGAATTAAACTAAAAACTAATTTATCTTAAAAAAAATAAAAATAGAATAAGATACAAAAAGTAGCTAGATTCAAGGCTAAGCGTTCCTCGGAATTCATTCATGAAACGTTTATATTCAAACAAACCTTATTTAATTTTACCAATCGTAAAGATAATCACTAAATTGATTTCAAACCTTTCTCTCGAACAAGTCAAATCGTAGATATTAATTGTTATCTATCTCTTCTCGGTCTCAAGATGAACAACTAACTCCTATAAGTTCCTAGGATTATCTCCTCTCGGTCTCAAGATGAACAACTAACTCCCATAAGTTTTTAGGATTTTCGTTCTCTCGCAAGGTCCTATCAACCTCTCGGTCTGTTTATTCTCTTACGTTATAAATCTCCAATTCTAGCAATCAATTATCTCCTCTCGGTCTCAAATCAATTACAAATATGCATTCATAGTGGTCATCTACTCACACAATAATAATAAGCACAAGAAATTTATAAACGAAAGATAAACCTGTTTAAAATAAATAAAAACTAAATCATAAATCAATCCGAGTACTAACAAATTCTAGAATCTAAAATAAATCTAGCCTAGAAAGATGATTTCAAAATAAGAAAAATAGATATAAAACATTGAGTTCGAAAGAGGAAAAGAAAAGAAAGAAAAAGTTTATTCGGCTCCGTCGATCCTTTCTTCCCGGCTTTTCCCCTCGTCTTGCTCGTGTTTCTAGCCTCCAAAGGTCTCCAAAGATGTGAAAATTATGTCCAAGACTCCCCAAAAACGTGTCCAAGTGCCTTTTAAATAGTTGGGGTCGAGTCATAGTCGAAATAGGTCGAAAATACCGAAAAAATAAGAAAAACGCGTCAAACCCGTCTAAGTCGCGCGACAAGGAGTCATAGGTCACACGACTCGTGTCATAGGCCACACGAGTCGTGTGAAAAAGTCGAGAGCAGGTTTCACGACCCGTCAGAGCGACACGAGCCGTGTCTCGGTCTCACACGACCCGTGTGTACCTGGGCACCAAAAATAGCTCGAAATCTTCACTTTTAGCTCATATAGATGCTCCTTGTCGGTATTCCGGCATCCCAGTCGACTCCCCGTGGTCTTAATACGTCCAGGTGGTGCGCCGGCGATTTCCGTCCATTTTCCAGTCACTTCCGGCGGCTTTTGACAACAGCTTTTCCGGCGCGCCTTTGATGTCCAAGCTTCTTCTCCGACGACGGGCTGGAAACGACGGCCATCAACGTGGTCTCCGGTGGCAGAGAATCGGCGTGGTGGCGAGGTAATGGAGCTCAAGCCACACTTTCATGGCGGCGGACGTGCTATTCGTGAGGAAGGAGATGGAGAATTCCTGGTAAAATGACCACTATACCCTCTATTAATATGATTTTGGGCCATGTATTTTTGGGCTGAAATTTTAAAGTCTTTCCACTAGGCCTAGCTCCTACATAAAGTGGGCTGCTTTTAGACCCTCTCTGTGGGCCTTAGGACAATTCTAATGCATCGATGCACACGCCTTCGATCAATTCTAGCGGTCTTCGACCTCAATAATTAATTCGACCCTATTTTCTGTCAAAACTCAAATAAAGCACCTCATCATAGCTTAATAAAATTAATTAAATATATAATTAATTATATAATAATTAATTAAATAATAACCAATTATATATCAAACTACGACGAAACGGACACGAAAATCACTATAAAATGCACGTAAATATGACGCATGTCAACATACCATCCAAAACTATCCAATTTTAATTTTCCCAAATACATATCTTTGTTACACAAAATCTAGTGAATTCCTAGTGCTTCATATGTTGCCATAGAAAACAAGACCCTCATTTTCTTGTTCATATTAAAAATGAGAGGAACCACATTCTTGATCTTGTTTTGGCAGAAATAAACATGCTTATTCGAGTTAAATATCCAAGTCGGGATCACTTCGAAAGATCCTGAGTAAGCCGCGCTCTTTGCGAATTCCAAGTACGTTACAACTGTGTTGTAATTACCTTCGCACCCCACTAAGAGTTGTTTCACGTTCGGCCTTTTCACGATCGTCTCCAAACTCCGGATTGTCGAATGAGTGAAATTGGCGGCGCTTACGGCTATATCCATTGTTAGCTTCGTGATGTCTTGGAGGCTCGAGTCTGGTGAAACGAGGTTTCTACTGAGAATGCTTGTGCACCAATTATAGTCCGAAGTGTGTATGCATACATCTTTGATTAACCTTTGAGTCGCGGCCGAGTCGCAGAACGAGGGGTCGATTAGGTTAGAGACGACGAAGAGCAATGAGAGTAATGGGAAGGAGGAAAGTTTGTTCATGGCTAGCTTATTGTTCTTTGTGATTTTAGGGTTTTGATAAGAAGATAGTGGTTTTTTTGGGGTGGTTTTTTGGGAGATGTGGTTTGAGGGTTTTAAATATAGGTGTGGAGTCATTTGTGTATGGTATATATGTGTGAGATGTCTTGTGAGGAGGATATGATTTTTGTCTATAAATGTGATGTATTCTTTGTAGGGTGATTTAAATTTGTGTAATAATATTGTGTGGTTTTTGCTAATGTGGGAAAATGAGATGCATGGTTTTGTGCAAGCATACAGGAGATGTTGGATAGTTTTAGGTAATGAAATAGGAAATTTTAACATGGATTGTGTAATTTGAATGTTTTTACTACATTCAAATTGGATAAGTTAGATTTGCGAAAAAAAAATAAAAAAAATAAAAATAAAAAATGGATAAGTTAGAACTTGATGGAATAGAGTAATATAAGAAATTTGGAGTGGGTTTATATGTAATGTTGAATACTTGGATTTTTTTTTTTATTTTTTTTTTCCTCTATTGAAATTGGATTAAATTGCAAAGAATATTGTTTGCTAGGCAATGTAAGAATGCAATTGATCTTTATTTGAAATTATATTATCATATATACATGATTCAGGATGGATTTGCATTTTTAGATGTCGTTTGGCATTTATTTTATTTTATGTTATTTACTTATTAATAATATTTATTAATTCATTATATATTTATTTATTGACAACATGTCGAATATTGTCTTTTTAAATCATAAAAAAAAAAATATTTATATCATCAACTTTAAAAATACGTATTTAATTTATTCTTTACTTTGTCTCGTCATGAGTCATACTGTACTCAGGCGATAACATTATTATTGACAATTTTAATCTCACTTTTTAATATCTAATACTTCTATATAGTGCTATTTTTAATTGTATCTAGTGCTATTTTTAATCAGGAGTGTGGGCATTTGTAAAAATAGCAGGATGTATTTAATGCTATTTTTCTAGTGCTATTTTTAATTGTATCTAGTGCTATTTTTCTATATAGTGCTATTTTTAATTTTTAGTTGTATCTAGTGCTATTTTTATTAGGATGTATTTTATTAAAAATTGCAACATAATTTATGTTAGCATTTCTAAAAATGATAGCACCATGTAAGATTAAAAATAGCATCATACACAAGTGAAGCATCAAATATGGTTCTCATACCTGGATTACTTTTTATTTGAACCAACCCCTATATTTTCTGAAATAGTAAATAGATTTTTTTGGAAGGAAATAGTTACTATTTAAAAAATAATCAAACTTTTATATATATAAAGGAAATAATATTTACTATTTTAAATAGTAACTATATCCCTCCAAAAAATCTTACTATTTCAGAAAATTAATTTAATAATTTATGGTATACTTCAATTAATCATTTATGGAAATTGCAGCTAATTATTTAAGGAAATAATATAAGCCATAAAAAAATTATTTTTAATATACTTTAATTACTCAAATCATGTGAATTTGACTGATTTACCTAAATAAGGGAATTTCGGCTACAATATCAATTATGTAATTTTGTAAAAATCTTCCAACTAAATTGTGTAATTAATTATTTAATAAGTGTTTTATATTTTTCATGTAACTCTTTTGTGAAATGCATTTTACATATACCTTAATTACGAAAATTATGTAAATCCGGATGATTTATTCAATCTGCAAATAATTACTAGAATTATGAAAATTTCTACTAAAATAATCAATAATCCGGATGATTTAATGACAATTTTTATTTAAATATTATTTAATAATTGTTATTTATTTTTATATATTTAATTACTCAAATTATGGATAATTAAGAAAGTAATTAGACCATAAAATTTTACATTTTTAAGATACCCTGATTACACAGTCGAGTACATTTGGTTGATTTATTCAATCATAATTTTTTTATAAAATTATTCCAAAATAATTATGTTAATGGCAACTTCTATTTAATTATTTTTTAAAAACTATTTTTTTTGGGTCTTTTTTTATTATTATCTATAAAAAACGTGGGTCTCGATTTTATTTTGTACGTCGGGCAAATAATGTAAATTTGAATATCATTTTTTGTATTTTATCGATCAAATATGAAATACCTCAAAATTTTGTAAAATTTTTTAAAATCCCAATGAATACCCCACGACTTTTAAAAGTCTTAAAAAATCTAAATCAAATACACCGTGAAGTATCTAGAAATCTTAAATGAATACACCCATAACTTGTTAAGTGATTCAGACTTATTATAATTTTTATTTACAAAGAATGTTTATGAAATATTATACTTTGATTTAATTTGCATTATAAAAGTATTACACAAAAATAAAATTTTCTAACGAGTATACTTTTTTCTGATACGTGCTTAATAATGGAAAAAAAATATTTATTTTTGTTATTGGGGCTTTTTCCTTTTAGCATCTATCCATATAAAATAAGAATAGATTAAATCATTTTTAGAAAGAGTTTCTCACCAAAATCATTAAGTACATACTAAAAAAGGTAAGTTTTATATTCTTTTTTAAGTGTTTTCAAATAAAAATAAGCATTAAAAGCATTGCCATAGTCTCGGTTGTTGTTTGTCAGGCCATATTCTCGGTTTTTGTTTATAAAAAAAATATTCTCGGATTCGGTATTGTGTATATATTGAATTTATTTAAAATCAAACTATTTTAATGATATCATAATCTATTCTTTTATGGTAACGATTTTATTGAGTGTATTTTTTATTTCTAGCTAGCACAGATAACAAATGAAATTCCATTCTAATTCTAGACAGTACATATATTTTTTATTTTTTTTACAAACAAATTTAAAACTGCAATGGAATTAGACAAGTTACATTCTCAATTTTATTTTTATATTTTTTTTTATAAAAATAAGATATAAAGATGCGATATGAATAACTACAACAGTTCGACCCTTTCCATGCAAACGTAAAAAACGTTTTTTAAATAAATAGCATTCTTTTCAAGATACAAGATTAGCATTCAAACTTATCATTTACATATACAAAAGATACGATTTCCACATCCTTATTTATCATGTTAAATAGTTATATATTATGAATCCAAGCAAAAAAATGATTGCCTTATTTAAAAGAGATATTCACAAGATCCATGCAAAATGAAATTTAGATAAACACGAATCAATTTAATTATCAAATATTTTTTTCCTTAAAAATATGATTTACATGTCCTCCAATTCATTTAGTTAGTTTTGAGTTACAAATGATAAAATATCGTTGTTTTTTTAACGTAATTATTTTTGTAAATATTGTTCTACAAAAGATACGATCAAAATTCCAAATCTCTGGTAAAACATAATAAAAAAAATATTCTAAATATTAGAATGAATATAGTATAAAAAATGGGAATGATTGAAAAGAAAAAGAGATATACTCAAAATTCACTCTTCAAGGTATCATTTGTTCTTATCTATATATATATAATAAGAATTACTATTTACCAAAAATAGTAAGCAAAAAAAATCTGGCAACATTAATTGCATACCATTTTGGGCAAGTTTTGTTTTTATTTTTTATTTATTAAATGAGAAACATTTAAATATGCCTTCAATCACGGGTAGTTAGTTTTGGTAACCAAATTACTCAATTTTGGTACAAATAATGCTTTTAAAAATTTAAATTTTATTTCAATACCAATCCTTTTTAAAATTAATTGATATCAACATTCATTATTTGGGAAAAAAAACTTGCAAGTTCTTAACCCATAATAATTGTGTGCAATTCATCAAAATCAACGATAACACATAATTAATTGTCAGATTTGTATAGCTGAGTTGAGTTTTAAAAGAAAAAGATTATTTGGACGCCAAAAAATTTTGTGTAACAACATAATTTTGCCGATGAAAAAAATAACAAATCTACCAACACACACTCAAATTCTAAGAGTTCTTTTGACTAATCGTAAACACACAAAAAATCCGAACATAAAAGTACAAAAATCGAACATAAAAATCTTAAAATTAAAAACTCCACATTTCTTTTTCAGGCAAAACAAATAAAATTAACAAAATCTACCGGCGCACACTCAGATTCGAAGGATTCTTTTGATTAATTGTAAAATCCAAAAAATTTGAACATAAAATTACAAAAATCGAAAATAAAAACCCTAAAATTGAACAATCCATATTTTGTTTCGTGCAAAACACTTAAAACTAATTTAAAGCATCGATTAAATGAAAATTAAAAAAGAATATGTATTTATAAGATCCTCAGTGTTAGAACGGAAAGCTGGAAGAAGATCGATGGAAAAAGACGAAAAAAGAAACTGGAAGCAGCGAAAAAGGAAGGAAGAAATGAATCCTTTGGTCCGATAATTTCACTATTTATACTATGTTCAGTGTAATCTAAACCGTCGATTTGCGTTGACTAATCTGGATCATTGGATTATTCTGTTTTGTTTGGGCCGATATGAACTTTCGAAGCCAACATTGTAAATTGGACCGATATGAACTTTTTAAAACTCACATTTTTCAAAAACAAACCTATTGTACAAGCCCAACATGATTAATTATAAATAATTACACGTATCTTATAATAAGTATTTGTTAGGTTTAATTATAATCAATGATCGGTGCTTTATTATATAATTTAAATTTAAATACAAAATTGCCTTTTAAAAAGGACGGAAATAATAAAGCCCCGTGCATCGCACGGGTACTGTACTAGTATTCCATATAAAATTAAACTTTAGCTGATAAATCATATTTTTAGTATTTATCACAATATTATATATTTTCACTGTAATTTTATTTTGTGGTGTTAGTATTCCAAAAATCATCAAAGAAGTAAAGAAATAAGGTGTCTATGCAATTCACAATTACCAAGTGAACAACAATTTGGTAAATATCGGCAACTCGCTGGACAAACTCAAAACCAGCTTCATATACTGCAAATTAAAATTTTAAATTAATTTAGGGCATTACTATTCACCGCCACCCCTAATACTATTTACCGCCCCCCCTTGGA